TTCCTAAAACATTATTTTCCGGTCAGAACCATGTCTCCTGAGCATTTTGTTTTTTTGGCGCATGTCAATACATGCCTTGGTTAATTTTTAAGAACGAAACGAAGTTGCCACCAATAATTTACAATTTGTTTAATTATCATTACTTGTTGATGTTATTTTCCAATATGAAGAGATAGCTATGGTAACTATTGTCGTAATGTCATATTGACAATTACTTCTTGTATACCTACTTTTGAATATGGTTTTGAGTATCGAAGATTGTGCAAAAGCCGTTGTTCTTGTTGAAGATAGGCAAAATTATGAATATGTGGCTAGAGTACTACACACTAATCGCTCTACGATAAAAAGGGTCGTGTAACGTATTAGATGAACTGGAAGCGTAAAGCGGGTAGTGGTAGGAAGCGAAAAATTACCGCTCTTGAAGATAGATATCTGAGAATAAACGCTTTGCGGGACCGTCATATAACTGCAGAACAAACAAAAAATAGGCTCAAAGAAGTTCGAAGAGAAAACGTAAGTGTATTTACAGTTCGTCAAAGATTACACGAAATTGGTTTACAGTTGCAAACCCGCAACTGGGTCTAAATTGTTTCCCCGTCACCGAGTGGCTAGACTGCGGTTTGCCAGAGAACATGCATATTGGAATTTGGAACACTGGAGTAATATTCTTTTTACAGATGAGTCGAGGTACTGCTTGAACTCATCAGATGGGAGAGAATGAGTGTGGCGACGAACTGGAGCGAAGTTTGCGGAGTGCACTTTTAGCACTTTCGGCCTTAGCCATGGAGGACTCGGTGATGGGATGGGGGCTGGAATATCCCGAGAGGCTCACACTGAATTGGTGTTTATTGATGGTACGTTGACTGCACATCGATATATTGAGGAGATATTAGCTAATCACGTAGTACCATTTTCTCAAAATATCGGGGATAATTTTAAACTTATGCAAGATAATGCGCGGCCGCATTCTGCAATGTGTGTCACTCAATACCTCGAATGCCTTTATAAATAAAATGAACTGGCCAGCGTGTTCACCAGATTTGAACCCTATAGCACCCGTTTGGGACTTACTTTGCAGTAGGGTTTGCAGTCGCAAAGTAGCACCAGCCTCAATTAATGAACTGCGCTTGGCCCTTGAAGCAAAATGGCAAAACATAACGCAAAATGAGATTTGCACCCTTATTGACAGCATGGACCGACGTCTACAGGCCGTTATAACAGCCAGGGGAGGAAATACAAAGTATTAGGTTACGTTTTAAGCTTTGTTTTAGAGTTTTTTTTCCTGTTTTTATACTTAGTTATTACTGTTATGTTTTTTTTAATCATTAGTTCTGTTATTGTTAAAATATTTATTAAAACCAAGATTTTTTCGTTATTCTTTAACGTTTCCTAATTTTCAATGTCGAGTTCTAATATGATATTACGAGAAGAGTTACCAAAGCCACCTCGTTATATAAAAAAGCACCAAAGAGTAATGGCAATCCAAAAAAATTGCAAATTTTTCTTCATCTTCATTTCTCTGTTAAAAATTAACCAAGGCGTGTATTGACATGCGCCAAAAAACAAAAGACTCTGGAGACATGATTCTAACAACCCTTCGATTAACCCTGTATAATAAGCCAAATACTAATGTTTATAAAAAACTGTGTTTACGAATTAAAGTTAATATATTTAGAATTTAGAATTTAGAATGAGTGGGAGGGGGGTTAATCACTTCGACCTTAGAGATCCATTGTGTCCCCCTTTCTTGAATCATAACTCATCATACAGTCCCAGGGCTTTGACAAAAGCCAGTATCTGAGACGGTTTTATAGAGGGTAGTTCTCCATCTCCAATATCAGTCGTACCAAAATTCATGGCACGAATGGTTGTCGTCTCGGCGCACTCAGTCATGAGGTGTACTGGTGTTTCCCCATCTTCCCCACAGAATCTGCATTCGCCGTTTCTTCTTAGTTTCAATCTACTGAGGTGTTCATTGAGGAGACAGTGTCCTGTTAAAACCCCGTGACAATCCGAAGATTGTTTTTACTCAGACCCAGGAAGATCTGTGATTTTCCTTGATCATAAGCCCTCAGAAACTTCTTCGAGCGTCTTAGACCATTGCAAGATTTCCATTCCAGGTTGCGGATGGAATCTTCCAAGTTCTTGAGTTCCGCCTTGAGTTGGTTACCACTTGGAAAGCAGAACGGTTCTGGTCCAGTTAGTGGAGCGTTCGCTCCTTTCCTAGCTAGATTATTTGCTTTTTCATTGCCTTCTATCCCTTGGTGAGCAGGCACCCAGTGTAGGAGGACTTTGTTTTCTTTGCCTAATTTATTCAGCTTCTCTATGCAGTCTTTGACCAATTTCGAATTGATTGATACTGAGTTGATCGCCTTTAACGCTGTTTGACTATCAGATAAGATGGCTATTTCTTGTTTCCGATAGTTCCTATCTAAGATAAGTTGTACGCATCTCTCGATAGCGTAGATTTCTGCCTGTAGGATACTAGGGTAAGGGCCCATTGGTTCGGAGTAATTAGCTCTCGGCCCAAACACTCCGATCCCTGTTCCCGGTTTTGGAAGCATCAGTATACCAAGTTATGATATGGTCTTTTAACTGCTGGGCAAGCGTTTCGCTCTTCCAATCCTTCTTATTGCTCAATACTACATTGACATGTTTGTCAAAAAGAAAATTCTAAAAAAAAAAAATTCTAATATATTTATCTACTGTTTGCTAAAAAAATCATGAAAATTTGATTAAAATTAAAAAAAATATAACTATTTAAAATGTGCCAAAAAAATTGTCAGTTGCGTTTTTTTGCATCCTAGTGTCCATGATTACTAGTGTTCGAATGCTAATTTCCAAAAATTCTCTCTTATGCTTGTTGTATTCAGTAGCTAAAATTTTGGTCTCCTTATAATTAATTTTGTGATTTGTAGTGTTTTCATGTTTAATCATATCAGTTTTATTTTTTCTTATCATACTTCTGTCCTTTTAACTGGTTTTCTAGATATTGTGCTATTTGACCGGTTTGACCAATATAAACGTTTGGGCAGTCTTGACAAGCAATATGGTATACAATATTAGTTTTTTTGTTAGTAGGTACGTTACACTTTAGAAATAGTTATATAACTATCGATAGTTATCGATATATTGGAAAAATCCCATCCGTACTATTTTTTCACGGTATATGTGTGTTTCTGATATTTTTCATTAAAACAAATCGTGAATATAGTGTGTTTTTAGATATATAAAAAAACTCGTAAATTCTATCCTTCGCATTTTTCGTGTGCGCAAACATAGGGGTTTCATATTACAAATCGATTTTTTGTCTTTGTAGCTTTACGTCCGTCCAAATCCTGTGTTGCAGATTTTGTCAACAAGATTTCTCCGAAGAAATATTTTGTCGAAAAAATGTCTGCTTCTCAGAATATCCAGGAAAATCAATTCGAAACGACGTCTATAACTCCGGAGGCGCTTCGAACCAGTTTTTGGAAAAGAATTTATTTCTTTCATCCTACGGTGTAGATATCGATTAAAGCTGGACGAAACTCTCCAGATTATACAAGAAAATGATAGCTAAAATATAGTATCCTCACTCTAATATACAGTAGACACTTGATTATTCGAGCTAATGTGGGCTGAACCCTAGCTCGCATAATACGTTTTTTTTAATTTATTATTTTATTATAATTAATTTTAAAGAACAACTAAAGTCAGTTTGTGTTGCTTCGGAAATTTTGCGGTTCTTCGAAATTCCCCGATATATGAAGGGGTCGTTGTATAAAAAATTGTATAATAAAATATGATAGACAATTAAATTCTGATTCTCCTAAAATATACAGGGCATTCTATTTAAATTAAACAAACGTTTAAAGCTAGAAATTATTTAAAATAAATTTTTAGACACTCTGTATGAGGTAGTATTATTTTTATTATTGCAACACAATAACTGATCAATAAATAAACTTCAGTAAAATTTAGTATTAAAAACTTTGATACCCTTGAAAAAATTAAAGTTTTTACTGCAATTTCACAAAATTGAAAATATTTCAAAAACGGTAAGGTTTAAGTGTAATAAACCTTAATAAAATTTACCTTTATTTTAATCGTAGAAACTAAAAATGTAATAATATACAGGGTGTTCCATTTAATAAAATACAACGATATTTTTTATTTATTTGGGACATTCTGTATCTTGTAAAAATATTTTTAAATTATAGTTCTAATAGTCCTTCAACGAACCCAAAACTTACAATTTGGAAAAATCTAATCGTTTAACTACTATACGCCGCCGTGTCGTATGTGGTAAACAACCTTGTATATTTAGATTAAATTTCTCATTTTGATAGTCAATCCCGGAAACCCGGGAATGTAAGTTCATATCCCGGGATTTCAAAACGGGATCTCTGAAAATTCTGAAAATTGGAAACCCTATTAGTAAACAGGGGGTGTAGGGGTGTGTTGGAGAGGTAGTACCTTTTGTCTGGTACGGTCACTCCAAGTGCCATAGGCGGGCGGAGGTCCCAGATAACTGGTCTTCACGAGACACCCAACTCTCACTTGCTGGCTCCAAGCGCCACACCCCGGTACACTGTGTTGACCCACACACCCCAAGTGAGGGTAGCCAGATATGCATGGAGAGCAATGAGCCGAATGATCGCCGGGATAAGCGATCGCACTCACTCTGCCAATGGTCTTTTCTCAAAGGGCGGAAGAGCGGAGTGTTGAAGGGCACTCTTTTGACCATGGGGTGAGAAATCGTCCCAAAAGGCGGATGAACTTTAAGAAGTCAACGGCATAAGAATATGGAAGGCAACGAGAAACCACCATATTAAAGATCCCTGGAGATTTCTCAAGACAAACAAAACATGGCAACGCAACAAAAGTCAATGGTCCCTAGTCCGCGGCAGACCTTAGATGGTCAAGGGGTGCTAAGAATCCCCTCGTGAAAAAACTCGAACTATTTAAAAAGCAACTGTGCAAGGACACTAAAGATTGGTACATGGAATGTCAGGTCCATGTATGTGGCTGGAAAACTTTACAACATAAGACAGGAAATGAACAGACTGGATATAAATATACTGGGAATAAGCGAGACAAGATGGCCGAATAGTGGACAAATAAGGGTTGACGACTCAACACTGTATTACTCCGGAAACGACAGCGCTAGCCACCCGAACGGCGTTGGAATTCTTTGGGACGCGAGAACTGGTCCTTCGGTCCTTAACTTTATTCCTATGTCCGACAGGGCTATGATGATACAGCTTAAGGCCACACCGAGGAATTTAAATATTCTCCAGGTGTACGCTCCAACGCAAAACCAGAAGAGAAAATTAAATTTTGGTATGCTGAAGTGAAACAACTGCTATCTTGCACCAGAAAAAATGAAATTACCTTTATATTATGAAATTTTAACGCCAAAGTTGGCAAATGGAAAAGCGAGGATGTCGTTGGCGACTATGAAACAGGCGAAAGAAACGAAAGAGGCGACACCTTAATCCAATTCTGTCAGGAAGAGGTCTTCTTTATCTGCAATACGTGGTTTAAACTACCTGCAAGGCGGCTCTATACGTGGAAATCGCCACAAGATTCAAAGCAAAATCCAATACGTAACCAAATTGATTATATATTAGCTCTAAAACGATACAGAAATGGAGTACTTAGTGCAAATACTTACCCAGTTTACAACATGAGTTTACTGAGAAGTGAGGCACAACGACAAGACGTGTCCAACAAACTCAACGAGCAACTAGGAAAGATCCAACAGCCAAATGCCTCTCAAACCCCTGGACTGGAAGACCACAATAACATAGAGAACATCTGGAAGAAAATTAAAGAAGCGCTGCAGGAAACACAAGAACAACTAACAACAAATAATAACGAGAAGCACCATAAAGCGTGGATGACTCAAGAAATTTTAGACCTCATGGAAAAGCGGCGAAGTTTTAAAGGCACAGACCCTCAGAGATATAGAGACACTCACAGGCTTATCAGAAATAAAATCAAAGAAGCCAAAGAACTGTGGATGACGGAGAGGTGCCGCGAAGTCGAGGAGCTCCACCAAAAACATGACTTATTTAACCTACATAAAAAAGTCAAAGAAGTCACTGGGAAACACAAACCTCGAACATGTACCAGAATCGTGGACGGTGAGAATAAACCAATCCTAACCGAACAAAAACTAGAGGAGGTATGGACCAATTACATAAGGGAACTGTTCGATGACGGTGGCCCCTCTTTTCACTCCCAAATGAAACGGAAAATGGTCCAGATATAATGATCTCAGAAATCGAGAGAGCTTTAAAGAACACCAAAAAGGGGAAAGCAGCTGGACCGGCAACATCTACCCAGAATTGATAAAACTAATAAACGGAGACAATTTAAAGTTATTGGTAAACCTCTTCCATTCTGTATACAATACCGGAAACATACCGCAGGACTAGCTAACGTCGACATTTATACCTATTCCTTAAAAAAAAATGGTGCAAAAAGATGTGATGAGTTTCGTTTAATAAGTCTGATGAGTCAAGTCCTAAAGCTGTTTTTAAAGGTTCTGCATAATCGAATCCGAAGAAAATGTGAGCTAGACATAAGTGAACAGCAAATGGGATTTCGCGAGGGACTGGGGACGAGAGAAGCCCTGTTTGTGCTATCGGTGCTTTTGCAGAAGTGCAGAGTCAACGAAAGGAGGTACACCTATGCTTCATAGACTACACGAAGGCATTCGACTGCGTCAACCACAGGGAATTGCTGAGCATCCTTGAAAGAAGAGGCCTGGATACCCAAGACCTGAAAATTATCCAAAAGCTATACGAACAACAAGTAGCGACAGTAAAACTACAGGACACTGAAACAACAGCAATACCTATCAAGCGTGGAGTTAGGCAAGGATGCGTATTGAGCCCTATGCTCTTCAATATGTACTCCGAACTAATATTTCGAAATGCGCTTGAGGGATCAGAAGACGGCATAAAAGTGAATGGCAGGCTGATTAACAACATGAGATATGCTGATGATACCGTCGTTATTGCAGACACCACTGAGGGCCTGCAAAGACTTCTTGATAGACTGTCCTCGGTGGGCGACTCAATGGGTCTCAGGATAAATACAAACAAAACAAAAGTCATGGTGATAAATAGAGATGCAAGACAGGCAACGGAGGTAGTCGTAGGTGGGACACCAATAGCAAGAGTCTCAAAGTTTAGATATTTGGGCAGTTGGATTAGTGAAGACCTAAACCCAGACATTGAGATCAGAGCTCGAATTGAGATGGCTAGATCAAACTTCCTAAAATTGCGGAACCTACTGTGCGATAAACGTCTAAACATCCATATAAAAGACAACTTCGTCAAGTGCTACGTACTTTCCACACTTCTCTACGGGGTTGAGTCGTGGACACTCAAAGTATAAGCGCAATGAATAATACCATGGACTGACCGTGTCTCGAATGAACGAGTTCTAAACCAAATGAACAAGGACCGAGAACTCCTCGACATAATAAAAAAGAGGAAATCAGCCTATTTGGGCCATATCATGAGACATAGCAAGTATGAATTCCTTCAGCTCATCATCGAGGGTAAAATTGAGGGAAAGCGCGGACCCGGACGACGGCAATGTTCCTGGCTGAAGAACATCAGAGATTGGACAGGCCTGGACTCACATACTTTGCTGAGAAGAGCGAAAAATAGAGAGGAATTTACCATGGTTGTTGCCGATCTTCACTGAATGGAGAAGGCACTTTAAGAAGAAGAATTAGTAAACAAGATAATAAAACCAGCACCATCTACATAATTTATATGTTATTCTATAAATAGATGATTGCTCCCAGATGCTTGGTGCGGATCGTATAAAATTAGTTTTAACCTTAAATCAATATTATCTTATAGTGATCTAGGCCCAGAAAAGACATCAGCCCCCCTAAAAATATGTGTCTAGTTGCGCCCCTGGTCAGATTCTATCAATACTCGAAATGATGGTCGTCATTCAAATATTTAATTATAAATCGAATTTTACTGATCCCTCAGAACCTATATATTTTGATAAATAACTTTTTTATAGATATTTTTGATCTAATTTTGTTTTAAACCCTTTCCTTTTAGAGAAGAATTTTTTAGTTTAGTTTTAAGAATACTCTTACAGAATATTTATTCAGATATATTAAGAAATTCGTCGTTTTATCTCATATATTTTTCTTGTTTGCGCAAACTTGCAAACTTCAAATCGATTTTGTATCTCTGGAGTTTCGTATCCATTCCAAATTCTATATTGGAATTTTATCCATAAGGCCTCTGCAAAGAAATATTTCTGTTGGAAAAAATGTCTCCTTCAATATAACTCCAGAGAGAATAAAAGAAGATGACGTTATTTTACAGTTCTCAGGGTTATGGCTAATCTTTGGGGAAATTATTTCTTTTAAGCAATTTGTTAAATATGTATGTGAAACGGAAGAGTTCGAGTACACGATTTAAAATAATTTTTACTCAATATAAAAAGAAATTACAGCTTTTATAAGGCCAACTGGTCCTAAGCGCCATTAAAAACTAAAGAAGAGTACGGGTCACGTAAATAACGTCTAGGGTTTGACCTCACCAAAATTATCATGGATTGTCACTTCACATCAGCCTTCTATGACGCCGTTTTTTTTTTTCGATCGTCTGGTACTTGTGCTGTTTGCTTTGTGATACGTTGCTGATTACTTTGCGCTACTTTATTGGGGGTTCCGTACCCAAAGGGTAAAAACGGGAACCCTATTACTAAGACTTCGTTGTCCGTCCGTTTGTCACAAAGGTCTATCTTATGAACCGTTATAGCTAGACAGTTGAAATTTTCACAGATAATGTATCTATGTTGCCGCTATAAGAACAAATACTAAAAACAGAATTAAATAAATGTTTATAAATAAAAAAGTACTTTCACTAAATATTATCTTTTAAGTAAGAATTTTACATAGAATATCCTAGAGCCGTAGTAAGGCAGGTTCGAATCCTAGTAAAGGCGACTTTCTTTAATCGCTTTTTTTTAATTTTTACATATTTTTACATACTTATTATTGATTAATACAATTTTTAGTAATGTGTTTCTTCATTTTTTTTTAAATTACTTATACGCGCATTCAAAATTTCAGCTAAATCGGAAAAAAAGTTTATAGTAATATAGTGTCTAATGTTGTATAGATAATGAATGGTACGGAACCCTTCATGCGCGAGTCCGACTCGCACTTGACCAATTTTTTGCAGTACTGTGCCTACTTTTGCTACATTATGTTCCGATACTTGTATTGGTAAATCTTTTTTAGCTATGCCTGTTGTGTGTAGATGAAATGTACAATAGTTCAAATGTCAAGTGTCATGTTAGGTTAGGTTGGTACGACAGAAGAAGACAGACAATAATTTAGACTAGAGGTCACAGAGAATATTTAACGTAATTTGTTATAATTAAAGTTATTAATAAAAGCTTGTTCAATAACATAATCTGTATTAGTTACTACATGGTGTCAGGTAAAAACTGAAGAGAATCAAATTGTTGTAAGATAATTCAACAAAAGTTTGAAAAGAAAAGCCATGGAAGGTAGTTAAAAGCCGCCACGAGGTTTGATTCTCAATGGAGAAAAAGCGAATTGGACGAAATTCAAGCAGCAGTTTGATATCTACATGAAAGCCACGGGCCTAGAAAATAAAGCAGATGATAGAAAAATTGCCATATTTATGAATATAGCTGGGGAAGAAGCTCTAGATGTCTTTAACACCTTTAAGCTATCAAATCAAGATAAGAGTGATTACACAAAGGTTTTGGAAGAATTTGAGAAGTATTGTGCTCCAAGGAAGAACATCATAAACGAAAGTTTTAAGTTTTTTAGCAGAGTACAAAGACCAGATGAAGACTTTGACCATTTTCTTACAGAACTATGTGTACAAGCAAAACTATGTGAGTTTCAGGATCAAGAAGAGAGGTTAATCCGTGACAGAATTGTAATTGGAACAAATGATCCATTATTGCAAGAGAGAATGTTACGTGAAAAGGATCTTACATTAACAAACGCAATCGAGTACTGTCGAGCTTCAGAGGCAGGAAAAAGTCATGCATACAGGAAAAGGTAGAAGTTGCAATGGTGAAGAAAGAAATCTTTAATTGTAAGAAATGTGGAAAAAACCACAAGATAAGAGAATGTCCAGCTTATGGGAAGAAATGTGCAGCTTGCAAGGAGAGGAATCATTTTGCAACCATGTGTCACAAAGCAAGACAAGAAAGAAGTGAGCCACAAGAAAAGAAATCAGTAGAAAGAGTGAAAAACAAGAAAAGAGTAAATGAAGTCAAAGAACAGGAACAAGAAGATATTGAAGAAGAAAAAACATTTTATTTGGATACGTTGGTATTAGGTCAGTTAGATAAGGTAAGCCAGTTAGTAAACCTTAATAGTTCTATAAATAGTTTACAAACTCAGTGGTACCAAAAATTGAAAATAAACAAAGAGTTTATCCAATTTAAATTAGATACAGGCGCAGAGTGTAATACTTTACCTTATAATTACTTTCAGAAATTAAACAAAAACAATTCTTTAAACTTAAAGGAAACTAAGTTAATTCTCACATCATACAGTGGCAATAAATTTAAACCGTTAGGGTCAGTAAATTTAGAGTGTAAGTTAAATAAAAATGTTAACAAGGTAGATTTTTTGGTGGTAGATCTCAACAATGCAGTACCTATCTTAGGACTAGAAAGTTGTCTAAAATTCAATTTATTAAAAAGAGTCAATGAAATTACAAGCAAAGAAACAAAAGAACAGTTTGTTAGTAGGAACAAAGATGTTTTTACAGGGTTAGGTAAGATAGGTAAGTACAAAATTAAATTGATAGGAGAACCTGAACCGATTATTAAGCCAATAAGAAGAGTTCCAGAAGCTGTAAGTCACAAATTAAAAAACACCTTAGAAATTATGGAAAAGAAAGGCATAATAATAAAAGTCAATGAACCAACAGAATGGTGCCAAAATTTGGTAATCGTGGAAAAACCAGACAAATCATTGAGGGTATGCCTGGATCCAAAAGATTTAAACCGATATATAGGGAGAGAAAGGTATTTAATACCATCAACTGAAGAATTGTGCAATAGGCTAGCGGGAAAGGAAGTCTTTAGTGTATTAGACATGAAAGATGGGTTCTATCAAATAGAGCTTGATGAACCAAGTAGCTACTTATGCACATTTGGAACGCCATTTGGGAGGTATCGTTTTAAGAGAATGCCATTTGGAATATCATCAGCACCAGAGGTTCTACAGAAGGCAAATACAAAAATATTTGGTGACCTTGAAGGGGTACAAATATATTTTGATGATCTAATCATTGCAGGGAAAGATGCTGAAAATCATGACAGAATATTACAAGAGGTGATAAACAGAGCAAGAAAATACAATTATAAATTTAATGTAAAGAAACTTCAGTATAAAATTGACAAGGTCAAATATGTTGGGTTAATAATATCGAAAGAAGGAATAGCAGCAGATGCTAGTAATGTGGAAACAATTGTCAAATTAGAAGAACCGAAGAATGTAAAAGCCTTACAGAAATTTTTAGGTATGACAAATTATCTAAGTAAATTTATACCTCATTACTCCGAAAGTACACAGGCACTAAGAGAATTGCTATAGAAGGATGTTATTTGGCAATGGGATCAAGTACATTCAAAAGCTTTTAGAGAGTTAAAGAGAAAGCTTACTATAGCTCCAACATTGGATATATTGAGAAAAGATAGTGACATCTTATTACAAACTGATAGTTCAAAAACAGGCATAGGTGCATGTTTGTTGCAGAATGGACAACCAGTGTCATTTTATTCACGTTGTTTTACAGAAAACCAGCTGAGATGGGCACCTATAGAAAAAGAACTTTTTGCCATTTCAGCATCAGTTGAAAAATTTCATCAGTTTATTTATGGACGTAAAATTAATATTCAAACAGATCATAAACCTTTAATATCAATATTCAAAAAAGATATAAATAAGGTAAGTCCAAGGTTACAACGAATGGTATTGAAATTATTAAAATATGAAGTAGATATTTCTTATTTACCAGGGAACAAAATGTTCATAGCAGACTTTTTATCAAGAAATCATTTGCTAAATAATGCACAAGATGATTCTAGCCTGAGAGAGGTTGTACATTGTTTAGAAGTTGACCTACCTATTTCGAATAAAAGACTAAATCAAATTAAAAATTTAACTTTACAAGATGAAATTCTTAAAATAGTTTTAAACTGGTATAAAGAAGCATGGCCATTAAATAATAAAAATATAACAAATTCTGAACTGAAACACTATTTTAAATTAAAATATATCTTACATGTAAAAAACGATATACTATACTTGAGCAATAAAATAGTAATTCCTAAAGTTCTACGTAAAGAAATGCTTAATTTAATTCATGCAGGCCACTTCGGCATTACTAAGTGTAAACAAAGAGCTAGAAGTTTGCTAGGAATTGGCCAGGAATGTCATCAGATATAGAAAATTTAGTAAGAATGTGTAAAACTTGTGAGAAATTTAAACCGACTAACATCAAAGAACCAATTATATCTCATGACGTACCACCATTACCATTTTTAAAGATAGGCATGGATATAATGTATTTTAATGGAAAATATTATTTAGTTGTAATAGACTATTATTCAAAATGGATAGAGGTTAAAAGTTTAAAAGATAAAACTTCAGATAGTGTAATTAATAAACTGAAAGTTATTTTTGCAACTCATGGAATACCAAGATTTATTGTTAGTGATAACATGCCATTTGCTAGCTCTAAGTTTAAAGATTTTGCTTATGAATATGATATTGAACTAATTCATTCAAGTCCTAGATATCCAAAGTCGAATGGACTTAGTGAAAAAGCTGTTGGTATTGTTAAAAATATCATGAAAAAATGTAAAGATAGTTGTTCGGATATTAATTTAGCTCTTTTAAATTATAGAAATACTCCAGTAGCAGGTTTACAATATAGTCCAGCCCAAATTCTGATGAGTAGATTTTTAAGATCGCAGTTACCTTGTACAAACGAAGTTTTGGCTCCAAAGATAGCAATTAATGTTAAAGAACAGATAGAGATAAACAAGGGAAAAGTAGAACGGTATTATAATAAAACAGCTCACAATAAAAAACCTTTTAAAAGCGGGGATGATGTAGTAGTACAGAATTTGCCCAGCAGAATTTGGACACCGGCAAAAGTTATTAATGAAAAAGGACCAAGGTCATTTACTGTGCAGCAGGACAATGGTAACTTATTGCAAAGAAATTCATTTCATTTGAGACATTCACAAAATAAATGTGTAGTTTCTCCAGAAAGTTTTAATAATACTTTAACTAATAGAAGTCAGTTTGATGATACTTTAAATATACAAAGAGAAATTAATCATCCTGATCCAAACACAGTAAGTGATCAACCTAATGAGATAATGAACAATTCAGATAGACCAACAACTAGGTCAGGAAGAGTTTCTAAACGGTTTCTATATCTAAAAGACTATTGTGCATAATGTAAACATTTATTCTTATGTAAAAGCTAGTTTTACAATGTTAAAAGGAAGGATGTTGTGTGTAGATGAAATGTACAATAGTTCAAATGTCAAGTGTCATGTTAGGTTAGGTTGGTACGACAGAAGAAGACAGACAATAATTTAGACTAGAGGTCACAGAGAATGTTTAACGTAATTTGTTATAATTAAAGTTATTAATAAAAGCTTGTTCAATAACATAATCTGTATTAGTTACAACAATGCCGATATAATTAATACATCGCCATGCTGGAAAATTAATATATCGGCACTCTCTTGGAGCTATTAAATACAGTTGTGCTGGTCTTTGGCATTTTGGTAGTAACTGGTACTAAAGGGCACAGGAGAAACGTCAAGATAAAAGGAAAAAAATAAGAAAATATTTAACGCAAAGATATACGTTTATTATGTGTACATTTTATACGATCTTTTTTTTATACGATACGATTTTTAGATATTACGTTTCATTTTATACGATCAAATAATTTCTAGCATGAAAACTAGAAATATAAATTTTGTGGTACTAAAAATAGTAGATACGTTTGTTTTCTTGTGTAGCCCCCGAAACTGTTTTTAATTTTTTTGTCCCTAAAACATTTCTCAATTTTCATCAAATTTGGCACTCCCATCCAATTTTTTTAAACGTATTTTAAAAAGTGAAAAATTACTTTTTATAAAATGCCACTGCATAAAATCCAAATAAATCAGCTTTTCTTATAGCAAAGTAACTAGAGATGAGCAAAAAATCGTAAACTGCGATTCAGTCACAGCGATTTTAAAATCGCAATCGCAACCTGCCATTGGTTCTCATAGGAAACTGCGACTGTGATTTCTTCTATTTGCAAGTTTCAATTTTTAGGCAACCAGTATTACTATAGTTGTGATTTGGTTTTGTTGCGATTGTGATTTTGTAAACTAGAATTGTGATTTAACCTTCTAACTGCGAGTTTGGTTTGGTTTGGATATTGGTGCGAATGTAATTTTGTACTGTATTGAAGCATTTTATAGTATACTGCGATTGAATATTCTCTCTGTTGTTATTTTTTATAGAGAAGATATTGTTTTCTAGGCCCAAGATTAAAGGTCAATTGATTGAATAAATAAGTATTGGGTAAAGAATTTGATAATATACGCATATAAACAGGGGCGGATACAGAAATTTATTTTAGGGGGGGGGGCCGGGATTTATTTTATGGGGGGCCCAAATAAAAAGTAATTTAAAATATGCCTTTTAGAGCGCCATTTTTAACATATAAGCATAATATTTAACCCAATTTATAGATTTTAGGGGCGGGGCCTTGGCCCCATGGCTTCCCCTGTATCCGCCACTGCATATAAAGTTTTAATACCTATAAGTAAGAAAACTAAACAACTGATTATTAACTGATTAACTACTATTCTAAACAACTGATTATCAACTGATTAACTCTTTTTAACTGTTAAGCTATAGGTATATATGTCGTAGTCTCATAGTTTATTCCGTCTTTTCATGAAGAGCCTAGTCACTTAACGAAAAATAACTAACCTAATAACATACAACAAACTTCTAACCTAACCGACGCTTCATGAAGTGACCTAGGATCTTCATGAAAAGACGGAATACACTATGTGACTACGACATATACACAGACAATTATATACCAGTCCAATATTTAAATATTAAAATTGCAATCGCAGATTACAGTCAAATCGCAATCGCAGTTTTGCTCATCTCTAAAAGTAACTATAACTTTCTTTGCTTATACTAAACAAATTTTCTTATATCCAGCAAAAAATGTTTATCGTTTCAGGGGGTTTATATCCCGCCATCGTCAAAAGCAAAAAAGAAAAAGAATAAAGAAAAACTATTTCGTATTTTTTTAGTGCAACTACTTTGAGAGAACACTTTAGATTTTTAGTACAGACGACCGTTAAAACTGTTAATGTTGAGTGTGCAGTAGCAGTTTACAAAAAAAAATACCTTTTTATTTTTTTAGATTTTAGTTTCAGTGACGAAATACCCAAAAAAAAATCCAGAACTCAACCTGCCACGAAGATACAAACATTATTTACAATGTAATATTTTTTTCACCTAATTATTTTCTTGCTATTTAGAAGTAGCTATGTAATATTTCTCTGTCTTCTAGTGCGGCTATATGTATTCTTTATAAATAGATTAAACCTAGAATGGGGTTGTAAAATTTCCAAATTACGTGAAGTATGCATAGAAGTCTCCAAATACAGACTGAATCTCAAACTCGTAGAGATAGTAAATTCTCGTAAAATATTACTTAAATAAGCCGAGATGCTCCGACTTGTCATCGAGGGAGAGATTTAGGGCAGGTCATCTCTGAGGAGAAAGTAAAACTCGTGGCTCAAAAACCTTCGTCGTTGGTTCGCAAAGATATCTTATAAAAATTTAGAGGGGCATTTATTCGCACCATCATAGTAGGGTTGCTAAGGTCCGGTAACGACAAAGTGTCTTCAGAAGAATAATTTAAAATAATCAATTTGAAAACAGCTAACATAAACAATCGTTTATTACTGGAGAAACCATCCATGATATGATAATTCGTAATTTAATTGATATATTTACTAAGATAATTTTCCCTTTCGCCATCCTTGCTGTTTTCGAGAGAGATGAACATCATTGCATATGACAGCTTGTGTGTCTTATTTTTCTTTTTTTTTGGAGGGAGGTTATGTAAATGGAATTAAATTTTTCTTCACGAATTCTTATTCCCGCGCGGATATCCGGGTCTGAATTTCTGCATATCCTTGAATTAATAATTTTAAAACATAGTTTGAGGATATAACAGGATATAACTCACTAAGCTTATAAGCCTATATTTATCTCATTTTCTTTGATTTTATTAATTCTGATATTTTAATATTTTGATCTTTGAATAATAGTAAATTTTAATCGATAAAGATATTTAATATGTAATGTACCTACAATGTACATGTTAGGCAAATAGTAATTTGCCCATACATATGCAAAGTGCCGTAAAATATTATAAATATCAATATTTTGCTATATGACTATATATTTAGTATCTATTAATTTGCTTATTATCGCATCAGTAATTTGACATGTGGACAGATTAGGTTCATGCAGGAAGATAT